AGATTTAAATAAATCTGAGAGGACCAGCCCATAGATTAGTGATTAAGGCAGCCAGATCCCACATGACCAACTCTACTGTTTGAATCCCAGTCCTTCTGACTTGAAAAACACACCGATTACATATGCATGAAGCCCCAGTATCCCAAGAGAATGGTGCAATGAAGGAGAATGGATCATGGTATGACCACACCCCCTTGGGTGGTGCTTTTTCCCTCTCTTTCACTCTGTATGTCCCTCTATGATGAGTAAACATACTTTCTGGCAATTAAAAAAAATGTTTAAATAAAGGAGATATTTTAAAAAAGATTACACAGAAAAATGAAACAAAACAAAACAATAACAACAAAACAAGTAATTTTTTAAAAATAAAACTGCTATGGTTTTAAAGTGCTTCTTTGCCCCAACCCAGATTAATGTATTGACACGTGGTTGTGATCAAGGTGTTATGGTTTGGATAATGGTATGTCCCCCAAAGGTTCATGGTTTGTAATTTGGTCCCTAATATAATGGTGTTGGGAGATGGTGAAAATTTAAAGAAATGAGGCTTAGTGGGTAGGGATTGAATCATGGAAGCACCATCCTCATGAATGGATTAGTACCATCATACCAGAGCGAGTTATAGCCCTCTTAAGAGGGGGCTATTCCCTATGAGAGTGGTTGTTACAAAAGGAAGATGACTCCCCCTAGTCTTTGTCTTTGCACGCGTTCACCACCCTCTCTGTTTCTGTCAGTCATATTATAACAAGCCTGATGACAACCTCGTGCATTTGAACCTTCCAGCCACCAGAATCCTAAGTCGAATAATCTCTATTCTTTATGAATCACCCAGTTTCAGGTATTTCTGTTAGTAACATAAGAGAAGATCATGACAAAAAAAAAAAAAAAAACAATCTGACCATAATGTAAAAAGTGGACATTTAGGAGGAGATTCAGATTAAAGCCATCAGGGCAGGGTCCCCATAATTGAAGTCTGGTGAATTTATAAGGATAAACAATGAGAGAGAGACAGATATATACACATGCTTGCTTTTGCTTTGTGCCATGTTATCCACAAGCAAAATCACCCTCAGATGCAACCCTTGAACATTGGACCTCCCAACTGTCAGCTAAATGAACCTCTATTCTTTTTAAATTACCCGGACTCAGGTATCTCCATTGTTTGCAACAGAATAAACTAGTACAGAAACAGAGAATGGAATTCTGGGAGGAACTGAAGGAGAAGCAGGAAGTTCCTTCAGGTGCTGACAAGTGACCAAGAAGGATCCAGACCAGTAAAGGAGAGCATGAACCAACTGGATCATAAATGATCCCCAAGAGATATGCACTGACCATGCCATACCACTATGTCTTGAATAATTGGGGAGTGGCAAGAAGAGCATGAAACATTGTAGGAGTGAGGCTACCTACTTAGGAAGACCAGAGTATATTTCTGGGTCCAAAGGGTCTCTCCAGAGTGAATATAGTGGGAAAAGGCCAAGTGTACAGGAGAATGGGGTAGCTTAGATGAGGAGCAGAAATTTTTTCCAAGATGCAATGCTTTCTCCTCTTTCTATAGAAGTGTTAATAGGCATCTCTGCTCAGAATGTTGGAAACTTTAGTTTATCAGGCTTAAAATCCTCTTATGTGATAATAATCTGATTTATGAATAAGTAATTGACTTATTGGGGTCATTACTCCTTGGATATAAGATGAAATTCTTATATTGAATAACTGTCCCTTGATAACCTCCATGTCAAATTCTCATTTCTCCCATGGGCTAGTGCATTAGTAAAGGCTCTCCAGGACAATAGAACCAATGGGATATGTATAGATATAAAAAAGGGTATATATTGGGGGAAATTCAAGCAGATGATTATTGAGGCTAGGATGTTAGAAAGCTGGACACCCTGGGATGTTAGTAGCATGACTCAGTCCAAGTCTAAAGACCCCAGAGTCAAGGAAACTGATGTGTAACTCTCAGTTTGAAGCAAAATCCTGAGAACCTGGCAGGCAACTGGTGTAAGTCCTGGAGTCCAAAGGTGGGCAAGGCTTGAGTTCAGATGTTTAAAGAAACAGAAAGAATAAATAATAAAGTGGCAGGATACAAAGTCAACATATAGAAATCTATAGCATTTCTATATGTAAACTACAAACAGACTAGGGTAGAACTGAACAAAGTAATCTCATTTACCATAGCCACAAAAAGTATAAGATACCTAGGAATAAATCTAACCAAAGAAGTCAAAGACCTCTACAAGGAAAACTATGAAAATCTGAAAAAAAAAAAAAAAAGAAGAAATAGAAAATGATTCAAAAAAGTAGAAGGGGATCCCATGTTCCTAGATTGGAAGAATTAATATAATCAAAATGGCAATTCTTCTCAAATTAATCTACATTTTCAATACAATGCCAATCAAATTACCAGAGCCATTCTTCACAGATTTAGAAAACATAATCATAGAATTTGTATGGAATCATAACAGACCCTGTATTGCCAAAGCAAGAGTGGAGTAGGGGGCATCCCACTCCCTGACCCCAAAACAGATTACAAAGCTGTGATAATCAAAACAGCATGATATTAACACAAAAACAGACATGTGGACCAATGAAGCAGAACAGAGATTCCAGAAACATACAACCAATTGATTTTTGACAAAGGGCAACACTCAATCCAGTGGGAAAAAGAAAACGTCTTTAGTAAACAGTGCTAGAAAAATTAGATATCCAGGGACCAGCAGTTAGCATAATGGCTATGTTACTGGCCTCCCATGTAGTCGACCACGGTTCAAGTCCCGAACCCAGTGGCTTAAACTCACGCTGGGTGCGTGTATGTGCATGCCCAAGATCCGGAGAGAAGAATGTCTTCCTGGTGAGTGAACCTGCCCTACAGAAAAAAAATCTCTTTTTTAAAAAAAAATTTTAAAAAAAGATAAAATAAAAACCTGGATCTCTACTTGCAGAAAGATCAATCTAGACCCCTATCTCTCACCATTAATCCAACTCAAAGTGGATCAAAGATCTGAACATAAGACTTCAAACTATAAAACTACTGGTGGAAAACACTGGGGAACTCAGAGATATTGGAGTAGGCAAAGACTTCTTAAATAAGACTCCCAAAGCACAGGCAATAATCCCAAAAATAAACAAATGAGATTACATTAGATTAAGAAGTTTCTGCATAGCAAAAGGCACAGTAGTTAGTGTAAATTGACAACCCTCAGAATGGGAGACTATTTTTGTCAAGTATGCCTCAGACAAAGGACTGATAACCAGAATACACAGGGAACTCAAGAGGCTTACTTTCCCCCGCTAAAGAAAAAGATCAACCCAATTAAAAGATGGGAAAATAAACTGAACAAACAAGCAAACTGTCCTCTCTAAGGAAGACATATGAACAGCCAAAAAGCATATGATGAAATGCTTAACATCTCTCATCATAAAGGAGATGAAAATTAAAACCACAGTGAGATGCCCCTTAACCCCAGTCAGAATGGCTAAGATTAAAAAGAAAAAAAGATAAGTGCTGGCAAGGCTGTGGTGAATGTAAATTGGTGGGAATGTAAATTGGTTTAATCACTGTGTAGAACAATATGGAGATTCCTCAAAGATCTACAAACAGAACTATGATATGACTCAGCAATTCTACTCCTAAGTATCTACCAAAAGGATAGAAGAACACTCAGTCAGAAAAGTGCTTGCATATCTATGTTTATTGCGGTATTATTCACAATTGCTAAGATGTGGAACCAACTCAAATGTCCATGAACAGATGAGTGGGCCACATATACTCTATGGAATACTACTCAACCATAAGAAAGAGCAAGAAGACCCTGGCATTTGATAGAAAGTGGGTGAATATGGAAGACTTACTGCTGAGCGAAGCAAGCCAGGCTACAAAAGAGAGACATTATGTATCTCCTCTTAATATATACCAACTGTCCACACTCTATGGTGGAAACTGAAAGATAAGAGTATATAAAATAATGGGAAATGGTTAATGGATACTGGAGACAGTGTGGGAAGAGGATGGGAGAAGGGAGAAAGTATGAGGAAAGGAATCAAGTAGAAGGATAGAGAGGCAAGACATTTATGGGACACAGAAATAGATAATTATCTGTTGATAATAACTTGTACAGTATCTTCAACTGGATTGGTGTGAAGTGTATTCATGTAGAGTAAATTCACTATACGAGTTGTAGTGGTATATAGTGATTGAATGTGTAAAATAAAATAAAAATTAAATTAACAATAAAGCAACAGAAAGTCTATCTTGAAAAAAGACAGAAAAGACCAGTCCTCCTTCTGTATTTGTCTTCTTTAGGACCCTCATTGACTGGATTGTGCATGCCCTACTTTAAAGACAGAACTTCTCCCATCCAGTTTACTCATATTCATATGTTAATTTCTTCTGGAAACATCCCCATAGACACGCTCATATAAATACTTTCTCAGATTTCTAGATATTGGTTAGTCCATTCAAGTTGACAACCAAAACTAACCATCAAGTCAAGTTTCTTCATTACATTATTTTAACCTGATTCCATAGTTTTAATCACTCTTGGTTACTAACACAGTCTTATTTTGGCATTTAAAACCTCATTTCTTAGCATTAAAATTGTCTTAAATTTTGAATAGGAATTGTCACTGTTTTGATTGGAGGAGGGGACATGATCTGTCTCTGAGACTCCTTCACATCTCCAATAAGAGCCATTTCCCACTGCCAGGACAGCCTCCTCTCATGACTGTCATGACAGGGATATACTATATCCCTACCCTTTGTGATACAGACTGGGTCTATCTGCATTGTTAGAAGTCTTACCCAAGGTAGATGCCTACACTTAGGTAGTGTGTGGTCTTTCTTCCTTGGAGAGCTGTTATTTTCTCCTCCACCTCCAAGAATCATTCCACTCTGCCAGAAATATCTCTCCTAAGCTCATTCTCTAGATAGAATGTCCCATTGACCTTGAAGTGCCCCTGGCTCTTGTGTCTTCAATAACATTTGTGCTCTTTCATATCCATAGAAACCATCAGGCTTCTCTTCTACAACCTATGAAGGTCATGAAGGTCCATTTCCTGACCCAGGTTGGACTCCCTAAGAGAAAGCATTGCCAGATAAAATATGGACTGTCAATTAAATTTGAATTTCAGAAAAAATAGGAATTTTTTTTTAGTATAAGAATGTCTCAAGCATTATCTAGAATATGCTTATACTAAAAATTAGTCATTGTTTATCTGAAAGTCAAATTTAGCTAAGTAGGCATTTTATTTGCTAATTCTGGCAGCTATACTCAGAAGCAAACTCTGAGATGAGACTTGTGTGCAGGAAGGTGTTTTTTGTTTTTTGTTTGTTTGTTGGAGAGGTTTTGCCATAGGGTACGTGCGCTCGCCAGAATCACAGAGAAAGAAAGAGAGACAGAAAGCGAGAAATCGCCTCCCAGGGGGAATGGCCATGCCATAATCCCTTCTCCTCCATTCTCCTCTCGGGATCTTGGGCACACATGCACACGCGCCCAGCGTGAGTTTTAAGCCACCGGGTCTGGGACTCGAACTGTGGTCAACTACATGGGAGTCCAGCGACATAGCCATTATGCTAACTGCTGGTCCCTGTGCAGGAAGTTTATTGAAAAATCTCAAGATTAACATCCATAGGGGAGTAAAAGCAGCAAAACTGGGCAAAGAAAGTTGAACTATGATGTGTTCACAACAAAGTTCTTTGCCTATTTTTTAGGAAGTCATGGACCTGGGATAATTATCTTTAGAGTCGTCCCACATTGAGGGGAGGTGGTTGGGTTTTGCAGTCACATTTACCAGTTATTGGATATGACTTTAACCTCAAAGTGTGACATTAGGCAAAGTGGTGTCCTTCAATAAGGGAAAATTTGCAAGTGAGAAGCTCAGCTAAGAGCTGCCAGCCAGCAGCACTTCAGGCACATATGAGGGGACTTCAAAACATCCAAGAAAAAATGGAATTAGAGTGCAAGTTTTTCATAACACAGCACTTTTTATTTACTTTTTGAACATCATTTATGTGAGTTATACCACCATCTGGGCTAGTTCCATAGCCTGGTAGTTAAAGGAGCTGGATCCCACATGGCCAACTACATGATTTGAATTCTGGCCCTGGCAACTTGAAAAGTCACACATGATTGCATGTGTGCCCCAAATCCTTACATGATGGAGAAATGGAGAAAAGACTACAATTTGACCATGCCCCATTGGGAGTGCTTTCTCCCTCTCCCTCTATATCTCTCTCTGGTGAGTGGAAAAATTTGGCAAATTTACAAAATAATGTCATACCTTCATTAAGTGGAAACTAGGAGCCACAGGATCTCACCACAAAGGTTTCACAGCAGACTGAATTGAAACTGGGGACAGGAGAATTTGAATCATCTTAAGGACAAAGGGTAAGAGATCAAAGTGAAAAGAAACTGGACTCCAGCAATTTGGATCATAATCAGTCAAATACCATTATCAATCTGACAGGTATAAAATTTGGACAAATCCTCTGGTGTTACAGTAGTTAAAATATCTGTGCTGAGTTTAATGTCTCTTTTTTCATTTAATACTGGTCTCCAGCAGGATCCCTTGTCTTTAAAAGAGGGGCCTGCAGAGCTCCCACTTCAGAAGCAAAGCTCTGAACCCAGTAGGCTGTGCAGCAGAACTGCCTCTCTCAGGAAGTGTAGCCCCACTGAGGCGGCACAGGTTTGTCCCTATGCTGTGAGCCTTCACTGTCCCTGAGGTCTTTGTGGCTCTTTTTCCTCCCTCCAGTTGTGCCAGCCACACCCCGTTCACCACTGTCCTTCCCCTTTCCTTTGTTTCCACACCCAGGGGCAAGACTTGCCTCTGGCATGCTGGACACTTTTGGGCTGGCATTAGCCAAGGTCTCTAAGGTGGGGCCACCCTCTCTAGTGTCCTGGAATGCCCTGGTTCACTTTCCCTCTGGCTTCAGTAAATGCAGCCACTCACATCCACAGCCACACCCAGGCCTTGTCATCACCAGGCTGCTTACCCTGAAGACAATCCCCACTCTATCCTCCCACTTGCTGGCCACAAACACTGTTTTCCCAGTTCCCTCACTCCCTGCCTCCCCTGAACCTGCTGTCCTGGATCCTTCCCTAGACCACAGTTCATCACTTTAGCCACTCTCTTACCTTAATCTACTCGCTTATCCCTTGTCCTCACATCTAAGCCCTGGAGCATCTCCTCCACCTGCCTCCTTCTCCTTTCTCCTGGAGACTGCAGGAGAAAAGCCCACAAGATTATACTGCAAAGTCAGGCCTCCACTGAGCAGGAGGCAACCCATTTCCTCCCTATCTCCCAGCAGGTGACCTTGCCTACTGCCCCATGGAAAACACGAAGCCATTCAGAGGAGAGTACTCCGGCTTCCTGCCACTCACCCCTCCCAAGTTCACCTACACCTCTTCCATCCTTAGCTCTTGCTTTTGATCTCATAGTAAGAGGGGGCCTCCCTGTTCTGAGGACCCCTCTATCAGGGCTCCAAATCCTTTCTCCTTCCTCATCTTTAACCTCCTTTCTTATCCAATCATTTTTTTTTTTTAGGATTTTTATGATATGAAAATGTACTCAAGAACTTTCGTAGCTTGAAATGAATATATTTGTTGACCTTATACTTCCTAGGAAGTATTCCCTGGTCTCTGATCAGCTGTCATTCAAGGTACCTAAGAGAATAAGCTACACTTAGAGTGTCCGTCTATACATATTCCATTTATCCATCCATAATTCAAGTTTTTGAAATATTCCTCCCACCCCACCACTTTTTTGCACTACCTAAATTCTGATCCTAGGTCAGTCTGTTTTAAGGGATCTCACCACAGTTCTCATTACTTTTGATCATTCTCTCCCTGAAATTCTTCTCAGGATCCTCCATAGGTTTCAAGGCTTCAACCTTGTTTTTGTCAAGAGTTCTCTTCCTTTCTTCTCATATTGGGAAGCCCCAAATATGAGACAGCTTGCCTGTAATGTTTACCAATTCAAAAGAACACCACCAGAGGTCCAGCAAGAGAAGGCATGAGTTTACTTACATAGCACAGGATGCTCTACTAATAGCCAGGTAGAGAAAGGTCCAAGCTGTCACCATGATATTGCTTAAAGCTTACAATAAAAAGTTAGCTGATAAACGAACAGAATCAGCAGAGTATGTCTAGAGTTTAGTGACCCCTATCTTGTAATGTTAATGTGGGAAGGGTGCACAAACCTCTGGAGTGGCCCTGACCATGGACCAATTCCATGAAGTGAAGGTAATGGTCACTAGATGTTAATAAGACCCAACTGGACTGGTAGCCAGTTCTCAGGTATAGGGTGATGAGGGAGAAGGGAGGAGAACTCAATGTATGGAGCCCACCTTCACTGTCCTCATCCCTCCCTTCTCTGCTCCCACTATCCTTATGGGTTAATCCTTCCCACACAGGCCTATGACTCCCAAAGTGTTGCCATTCCCCTCAATTTCCAGTGCTAGCCAGCAAGCTCCAACCCAGATGAATCTCTAGCTGTTGGCTATTCTCTCCCTAGACTCCCCACTTGAGTGTCAGGGTTGGGTAGTATCCTCAATCTAGTATGGATAAGCCCACAGATCTTCTTCATATAGGTCTTCAACTAAGTACACCACCTCCTCCAATGGGCTCATAACCAGAAACCTCAGAGTATATTGAATTCTTCTTTTTTCTCTCTCTCTTTTTTTAAAGATAGGTTTTTATTATCTCACTCTCCTGCCTTATCATCCTGGATATCTAGAACAACAGGAACATGCCATGGAATCCACCCTTTAGATTGGACTGGAAGTTGAACCTGGGCCTCCCATGTGGTCCCAGTCTGAGGAGCATAGTATATTATCAGTGCATGCCAACATATCTGGGACTCTTCCTATGTTTTCCTCCTATATGCAGTCTAGATAGAAAGCCAGACAGCTGGCAAATACTCAAAGACAAAAATTAAGCTTTGAGTTTCAGAAGCAACTTATATTACAACTTGCATCAGACCATTAGCTATGCTGACTCCATTCCTTCCTTCACTTTGTTTCTCCCACCACCATTAAGAGCTGAGTGTATCTTGAGGGGGAAGAGTTAGCACTATACTGCATGTGGGCAGTTGCCCTCAGGGCCCCCTGGTCCAGGGGCAGAGAGACCTGGAAACAGAGATAACTGTATATATGGGTAAGTGCAGCATTCTGAAAGACAGAGACAAGGGGAGCATCTGAGAAGAATGCCTTTGTCTGTTCAGTGAGTACAGCAGGTTTCTCAAAGGTGAGGAAAACTGCCCTGGTCAAGCTGTCTTAGTCAACATGGAGGCCGAATATTTTTAAAGAGTACCTGACATGTGCAAGGTGATCCTTAAACATTTACTGAATCAGTGAGTAAAAGTATGTATGTGTGTTTGTTACTACTCAAGGACTATAATAAAAACCCATGAGTCCACATTCATAGAAAGAACAATTGAATAAATAAATAAATGCAGTAGGGGGAAGAGGAGAGACAGCTCTTTCTTACAGTAGAATACTAAATACTTAACATAAAATGATAGAAATAGGAAATCATCATTCAGCAAACCCTGTAATACTTGCATTAGGCAAAACTCAGCAATGGATGCTAAAATTAATGGATGAAATTTGATGAGAAACAGGATGTTTATACATTCTAAGTGTATCATATCTCTCCACATGGCACTTATTAATTACAAAAGAGGAAATAGTCACTTGACAGTGAAGAAACCTGGCAGACAATACTTGATCCAAATGATCAAAGTTAGCATCATCAGTAAGGGGACATATGGAGACTATTTACATATCCCCTGAGGATATGATGCCTTCGGAAGGGCACACCACTCTCTTCAAAGAAACCAGTGAAAATTCCATAAGTCTTCCATTGAATCTGCAGGTCATTTTAGGAAGTAATTTTATTTTAATAATATCAAGCCTCCCAACTAAATAAAATCTATTTCCATTTATTTGAATCTTCTTTCATTTCTTTTTTTTTTTCCTTTCATTTCTCAAAAATATTTTAAAACAAAGTTTTTGGTGTATATGCCTTACATTTTTTGTTAAATTTATGCTTAAGTATGCTACTGTAAATAAAATTGTTTACTAATTTTTTTCAGGTTATTCATCACCAGTATAGATAAATACAACTAATTTTTATATATTGATCCTGTATCTTACAGCCTTACTGAATTGATTTATTAGTTCCTATAGTTTATTTGGTGGGTTCCTTCAGAATTTCTATAATCAGATCATTTAATCTACAGAATTAAATTGTTTTATTCTTTCCTTTCTGATGTGAAAACATTTTATTTCTCTTTCTTGCCTGCCTTGCACACATTAAACAGAAGTGGAAAGAACAGTCTTTGCTTTTTGCTGATCTTAAGGGGAAAATGTTCACTAAGTATAAGAGTTTTTAATTTTGTATAAAAGAAAAAAGTATCTGTCTATTAAAATAATCACATGGTTTTTGTTCTTTATTTTATTAATATAGTATATTACATTTTCTATGTTGAACCAACCTTGCATTATTGGAATAAATCCCACTTGGTCATGGTATATATGTTACTAGATTTGTTTTACTAGAGTTTTGTTAGAATTTTTGCACTTATATTCATAAGGAATGTTGGTCTGTAAATTTTTTAGTTTAGTTCATTTGTTTTTACTTACGATACCTTTATCTGGTTTCAGTATCAGGATAATTCTATGATATTTCTGAAAAATAAAAATACACAATTTGAATTTAATCATGAAGAAACATTAGACAAACCATACTAAGAAACACTCTACAAAGCAACTGGCCAGAGCTCTTCAAAAGTATGAAGACCATTAAAGATAATGGAAACAGTAAAGGAGGAGAATTGACATAGCAGCTGAATGTAGTATGTGATCCTAGATTGGATCTTGGAACAGAAAAAAATTAGTAGGACAATTATTAAATGTATAAAGATGTCTGTAGATTAGATAATAGGATTCCATTAATGTTATATTCCTGATTTTGATTATTGAACTCAGATAAAGATCTGGGTTCAATCTACTATCTGGGAAATTCTGTATACTATTTTGCAAGTCTGAAATGATTACAAATGGCAAACTTAAAAATTACAAAACATTTTTAAAGTTCATTTATTCACTTTTTGAGAGAGAGAGAGAGAGAATGAGACAGGAACTTATGCCATGACCTCCAGCTCCTACCCTTCCAGCCAGTCAGGATCATGAGCACGGGCACACCCAGAATGCTCATGTCTACTTGGGAGCTAATCTCAGAGCCTTCCATATGGCTCTGGCCTTGCACAGCAGTGCCTCAAAAACTGAGGTGATTTTGGCTCAATGAGGAAAAGAGATTTTATTTGAGGGCCTGGGAAGCATGAAAACCAAAGCTTGGATCCAGTATTTCTGGTAACTGCAAGTGGTTGAGTGCTGCGGGAACGCAAAATATGTGGGAAAAGGAATGAGACTGATAGGAGTAAGGATATTTTGAGGGTCACAGAAGTTATTGAGTTATTGGGGGATTGGATAGAATCAAGAGGATCAGACTTATTTTATGATAAATTATTTGACAGACCATAAGGAGAATGGAAGTTGACACGAATGGAAAGAGACACAAAGACTTGTCTTGAGCTTGCAGAGAAAAATTATTTTGCCCAAGAGTGTTAAGGTTTGTGGCAGATTTTTAAAAATTCTAATGTTAGAAAGAAAAAAGAAAAGACCACAATGAATTCTATATCTAAACAAATAGTAATTCCCAACTCCTAATTCTACCTCAGAGAACTGAGGAATTTGTTTTTGTAGGAGTTTTTAACTTTAAATGAGGACTTCAAATATGTTAATACAGGGAGGGTAAAAGAGGTAGAGTTTCCTCATCACACTTATGAGATTTGAAGTTCCCGTTTTTAGGAGGAGAACTTTTTTAGAGAAATTTTTGATATTAGGGTGTGTGTGAGGATGGAGGATTCCCACAGTGACCTCCAGGAGAGACTTGGGGAAATTTCTGTTACTGGAGAATTAAATAAAAACTTGAGTCTGGGCTGAGATGACTTTGAAGTAAATAACCTTGACCAGAGAATCAAGGGATTAAAAGGAGACCACAGCCAGTAATGGGAAGGACAGGGGAGGGGAGGGAAGAAGAGGATCTAGGTGGGTATCCCTCTTCCCAGCTAGTTGTTTGAGTTTTATTGATCCTGGCCACTTTATTTAGATCTCTTGGTATACTACCCCACATACACACACACACACACACACACACACACACACAGTGTCAAAATAAGCTTACATGTATTTGTCATATTTTAGAATGTTTACATTCAAGAATCATCTTTCACCAGCATAATTATAATTAAATATATTTGTATCATATAAAAAGACCAGCAGCCATTTTGGTCCAATCCGCCATCTGCGATGAGGCTGCCACCAAGATGCAGATTTTTGGAAATCACCTCGAGGTTGAACCATCGGATACAGTAGAAATTATTGTATCTAAAATCCAGGATAAGGAAGGAATTCCTCCTGATCAGCAAAGACTGATTTTTGCTGGCAAGCAGTTGGAAGATGGGTGTACTTTGTCTGACTACAACATCCAAAAGGACTCCACGTTTCATCTTGTGTTGAGACTTCATGGTGGTGCTAAGAAAAGAAAGAAGTCTGACACCACTCCCAAGAAGAATAAGCATAAGAGAAAGAAGGTTAAGCTGGCTGTCCTGAAATACTATAAGGTGGATGAAAATGGCAAAATGAGTCGCTCTCCTTGGGAGTGCCCTTCAGATGAATGTGGTGCTGGAGTTTTTATGGCCAGCCATTTTGACAGACATTATTGTGGCGAATGTTGCCTGACTTACTGTTTCAACAAACCAGAAGACAAGTAATTGTTTATGAGTTAATAAAAGAAATGAACTAACCTTAAAAAAAATGACCAATAACTTCATGTATTCCAATTTGATATAAACTCTCATGGTACATAAACCCAAAAGTATAAATTTGAGGATCTTCCTAATGTTAGGATGGTTCATATAGCATGCCCCCAAATTCCTTCCCATTGTAGTATCCAAGAAAAAAAAAAAAAAGGAGTTTGTATTTTTATTCCTGGTTTTGTGCTATTTCCTTACCCTTATATTCTGTCTCACCTACTTAGAAAGCAAAACTAAAAGCAAATTGCTTAGTAGTACAGACTTTTAATTGGAAATTCTCCTAGCCCCAGCCTTCGGCAAGTATAGGATATCCCATGGGACCTCTAGGTATGGTGTAGTCCAGCCAGTGGACAGATCCCATCTCCTGCCAGTGGGGACATAGAAGAGCATAGTAGTTAGCCTCCAGATTATGCTGCTCAAAAGTCTATAGTAGCTCTAGGAATCTTGGGCAAGTTATTTCATTTCTCTAAGCCTCAATTTCTATCTCTAGAATTCACTGATAATATTATCTATCTCAGAGAACAGGATGTCAAAATGGGATAGTCCCTATAAAATTCATAACCCAGGGTGTGTACCTGCTAAAAGCCACTATCTACCAGTGTCTCACACACACACATCAAATACGAACTCATTTAATACTTGTGGAGGACTTTATGACAGATGAGAAAAAGTGGATCCAAGATGTTTGAGAACTCTCCCAGAGTCATATAGACAGTAAGGGAAGAGAAGCATGTCCGTCTGACTCCAAAACTCTAGTGCATATGTCTCCATCATCCTGAGCAACAGCAGGAGGCTGAGGACTCATCATCGTAGCCAGATTCCTTCTTTCTGGACTCCACTAGATGCCAACAGAAAATTATGATGAGCAACATTTATAGAATCCCGGTAACAACATTATTATGCTTGTTGTTTGAATGAATAATTAAGCACAGTTGAAGGTCACATGATTACTAAGTGGCAGAAGCTAGAAACCCAAGTTAGCAGCACCAGTGTGTTTTTTCCTGAGTCTCTCTATCCTTGTGGCACATCAAAAGTAAACCCCCATCAGCCCAAGTCTCCACAGATAGGTAAGGGGATAAGCAAATTACGATATAAATATATATAACAGAATATCATTCTGCTTTAGAAAGAAAGGAAATTGGGCCACATGCGACTACATGAATGAACCTTGAGGACATTATGTTAAGTGAAATAAGCCAGTCAGAAAAAGATGAAAAATATATGATTGAGATACTGTATGAGATATCTAGAATACGCAAATTCAGAGACAGGAAGTAGACTAGTGGTTGCCAGGAACTTGGGGAGAAGGGAAAATGGAAAGTTAGTGTTTAATGGGTACAGTATTGGTTTTACAAGATAAAAGAGGTTTGGAACTAGATGGTGGTTATGTTTGCACAATGTGAACGTAATTTATGTCAATGAAGTATGTATCTAAACATTGTTAATGGGGCCAGTAGACGGTGTAGTCATTATGTTGCCAGACTCCTACATGACTGACTACGGTTCAAGTCCCAAACCCAGTGGCTTGAAACTCACGCTGGGTGTATGTGTATGTGTGCCCAAGATCCCAAGAGGAGACTGGAGAAGGGATTGCAGTGTGGCCATCCTTCCGGGGGAGTGTGTGTGTGGGGGGATGATTTCTCACTTCCCTCTCAGTGTTTCTGTCTCTCTCGCTCTCTCTCTCTCTTTCTCTCTGGGGAACACATGCATCCTAAGGCAAAAGCCTCTACTGGAAAAAAGAAATTGGTTAAAATGGTTGCCACGGTCTTAACACTTATTCTCCTGGCCTCCGCCCAAATTAATTGATCAAAACCCTAATCCTAAAGGTGAAGGGCTTTGGGAGATCATTAGACTCTCCTGAGTGAAATAAGTGCCTTATAGAAGGGTCCCCAAAGAGCCCTTGCTCCTTCTACCATGTGAGGACACAGTGAAAAATTAGTCTGCAACCCACAAGAGGACCCTCATCAGACCCCCAACCATGTGGCTGGCCCAATCTTGGGTTTCCAGCCTCCAGAACTGGATGAAATAAATTTATATTGTTTATAAGCCACCCAGTATATAGTGATTTGTTATAGCAGTCCAAACAGACGAAGGCAAAGGAAATTTTGTGCATTTTAATGCAATCAAACTAGTTTGTAAAAATGTAATGTTGTGTGGCAAAACGACAAGAAAAAGAAAGCAGCATCAAAATCACAATGAGATACCACCTCACTCTCACAAGGATAGCCACTTTCCAGAGGTAAATAGTAGTAATTGGATTCCTTACACCACTGTTGAAAGGATTGTAAAATGACGCAGCACCATGGAAAGCAGTTTGACAGTTGTTTGAAAGGTTAAGGAAAGAGTTACCATACATGACCCCATAATTCCACTTTAGGTATATACCAAAGAGAATTGAAACTTATGCTCACACAAATACTTGTACTTGAATGTTCATAGCAGCATTATTCTTAATAACCAAAGAAATGGAAGCAACCCAAATGTCTATCAACAGATGAATAGACAAATAAAATGTGGTATATCCATGCAACAGAATATTACCCAGTCATAAAAAGTAATAAAGTACTGATTCACATAATAAACCTTAAGAACACTATGCTGTGAGAGGAGGAAAAAAAAAAAACAGACAAAAGACCACATATTGTAGAATTCTATCTTTATGAAATATCCAGAAGAAAAACTGTAGAGACAAAAACGTAGATTAGTGGTTGTCTAGGATTAGGAAGGAAGCGCAGGGAGTGGGTAGTAACTAATGGGTACGAGGCTTTTTAGTTGGGATGATGAAAAGTTCTAGGATTCATTTCATTGACTTGTACAATTCTGTGATGATAATGAAAGCTGTTAAATTTTATGTTTTTTTTAATGGCTTTAAATGGGTCAATTGTGAAGTGAATAAATTAGTGTTTAATACAGTTTCTTTCTTTTTTTTTGGGGGGGGGCAGTACATCCATGAGTTGGTACCTGTGCACCTGGGCTGGTCCTCTAACTGCATCCTAGGGCTGGACTTGCTCTAGGTGACTGACTACTAGGGAAATTTGTCTAGGGCACAAGAGAGTGCTGATAGGGTCTGCAAATTAAAAGGCCAAGAAAGGATACATGGGAATGTTTTAAGTCAGGCATGACATAATCAGATTAATGCTTTGTGAAGATGGCTTGGCAGCAGTGAGTTACTGAGTAAATCTATGCTAACATCAGACTAGAAATAGTCAAGTCAGGAGATAGTAGGATGCAGGCAAGTGAGTATAAGGGCCTGAATTCAGGTAGAATCTGGTAGGTGGGCATAATCCCTGGGATGTGGCCCTGGATTGGCTGTTCATAACTGGGTAAATGACAGAGGCAAGAAAGATTACTGGATTCCTGGATTAACTCAGAGAAATAAAACCAATAGGATGAGAGAGAGAGAGAAAGAGAGAGAGAGAGCAAGCGAGCTATTAAGAATTTATCAGACCTGGGGCCCATGGTTCAAGTCCCAGAACCAGAGGTGTAAAACTCAGGCTGGGCTCTTGTGTGTGTGTGTGCCCAAAATTCCAAGAATAGAATGGAGGAGAAGGGACTGCAGTGTCGCCAGCCCCTCTTGGGGGTGAGTTTTTGCTTTTTGTCTCTCTGTCTCTCTGTTTCTCTGGTGAGTGCATGTGCTCTATAGCCAAAAAAAAAAAAAAATCTCTTTTGGAATTTCCAAAATCTGTAGGGTAGGTTGACAGGTTGGAGATGTAAGAAAGAGCTGATATTGCAGCTTGAGTCTGAAGACAGTCGAAACAGAATTCCTTCTTATTTGGAGTAGATCAGTCTTTTTTTCTATTAAGTCTTTCAAGTGATTGAATGAGCCCCTCAACATTATGGACTGTAATATGCTTTATTCAACATCTACTCATTTAAAATGTTAATCTCATCTAAAAATATGTTCACAAGGTATTTTAGAAGCATCCGGACTGGTATTTGATGAAATATATAAGTACTTTGGCCTAGCCAATTTGACACGTAAAATTAATCACAGCAAGTGTCTGTGTGGGTGGTTTGGGTGGTATGTCTTTCGCTAAGAACTTAGGTTTAGATTGGCAAGAGGAAAGAGAGGTTTTCTTGTTTGGTTGGTTTTTTTTTGTTTTTTTTTTTTTTTAAACCTGCTGGGTTTGACATGGCTCTGGGGCATCCATACGGACCTGCTCATCATGCAATTGAATGCACAGGAAAAGAGCTCATCTGGCTGAGGATAAAGATCAGGAATCTGATGGTATTCCACAGTAATGTGTAGCTTAAAAGAAAAAGGCATTCGAGGAAAAAACACTGGACATTCCAATATTTAATCAGGGGCTCAGAAAAAGAAGCTCACCAAACAGAGCCAGGCTGAAGAAAAGCAGAAGAGAATGCTAGCTAGAAACAAAAAGGAAAGTAGACTTTTCAAAGGGAATGATCAACTGTACCAAATACTTCTGTCAAGAGAACAGAAGAAGCCACAGATACTAAAAGATGTCCAACATGTCTTGGGACCAGCAGTTAGCATAGTGGCTATGTTGCTGGACTCCCATGTAGTTGACCGCGGTTCGAGTCCCGGACCCAGGGGCTTAAACTCATGCCAGGTGTGTGTGCATGCATCCCCAAGATCCTCAGAGAACAGAGAAAGGATTGCAATGTGGCCATCCCCCAGGGAGTGATTTTTTGCTTTCTGTCTCTCTGTCTCGCTCTGTCTTTCTGGCGAGCGCATGCACCCTATAGCAGAAACCTCTTCAAAAAAAAGAGAGAGAGAAAGAAAGAAATGAGTCTCACAGGGTAGTCAAAGTGTTGGCAGGGCTGGTTCTTTCTAGGCTCTAGGGAAGAATCTGTTCTTTGCCTTTTCCAGCTTTTTAGGGGGCTGGTATTCCTTGATTTGTGTCACATCACTCCAATCTTGGCTTCCACTGTTGCACTACCTATACCTCCTCCATATTAAATCTCTTTCTGCCTCTCTTATAAGGACACGTGGGGTAACATTTAGGCCC